GAATGGGCTCTAGCTTTTGATTCTCCTTGAAGAGCTCAGACAGTTGGACTCGATCTTTGAAGGTCCCTTCCAACTGAACTATCTTATTCTAGGAAAACTCGCTTCCAGCTCTCTCAAGATAGTAGCAGCATCATTTCGAACAAAAAGCTTGGCCAGATGATTGTAGCCGTTTTGTTCATTGCTAAAGGGGAAAAGAAATATCCATTAGGGAACTGTCACTTTGCACAGAAATACTGTTTGGATAGTGTTTTTGTTTATCTTACACATTAGAACATTAGCCTCCTTTAGAATTTAAATAATCAAGATTTATTTTATTTTATTTTATTTTATTTTATTTTATTTATTTTATTTTATTTTATTTATTTATTTTGTGAAATAACACCTAGGAATGTGCTACATCAAGAGGAACTCATTCATTTCTGCATTAGCACAGCTTGTCTTCCATGCCCTTTCACAATCGAAAGCCAACAGGCTCTGGACAACGCCAACATTAAGACAAGTGATGAGATGCTTGGTGAAATGGAATAACCAAAGGCAAAGCCTCCAGCAGCCTGATCGTGTGTGATGAAACACAATGCACTTCAGCAAAGACACCTAGAACACTGCTGTACGATTCTTGGTTGCATGCGAAGCAGTCATGCACTTTTGAGACTTATTTGCACAACTTCTCTGTGCTATTTTGCATGTTTTGAACTTTTGGTGCTTTTCTATAACAAGCTGGAATAAACAAAACGTTTTTATAAGATTATCTGAATACTTACTTTTATTACTAAATCTGTTTTCGTTGCACTGTATGTGGGTGGGTAAATGACTGGGTGAAAAAAAAAAAAAGGAAACAAAAAAGGAGGTCAAAAAGTTGCATGCAACTCATTATGACTGGATGTTATGGTAGTACCAAAATATTTACCCACATTTCAATCTGTTAGATACCCTTACACCAAATCTCTTTACTCTTTGTGGCACCTGGCTTTTGGATTAAATAACGTTCTTGCTTTCCATCGAAGGATCTCTAATATTGCATTAAGAATGACCTCTTTCATAGAAAGCCTAGCAAAGTAAGCTGTCTTTCAGATTTCACGACTTTGGACTCCTCACATTTTTATCTCTAGAATTTGTTTATATTTGGGATTTGGAGTTACTTTCCTCCAAAATGCGCATACCAGCCCCTGTGAAGAAAAAGAACCCTATCCTGGCTGAAACCCGCACCGCTCTTTACCTGATTTTCCCCAAGTCTCACAGCAGAAGATCCAAAGCAATGGTATTTGGCATGTTAAAGGAATGGGGTTTTACAATTTAAAATACTTCTCCAATTTGTATCCATTATAATATTCTTAGAAGAGTAAAGGCTCAACATGTCTCTTTTCATAGCTTAATGAAAATACAAATTCAATCTGAGATTTCCCCATTTAAGAATTATAGAAAAAAGAGAAGTGGAATGGCAAAATTTTTATTGTTCAATCAGATTAACTCCAGAGACTCCTCACATTTCCAGCTATAGAAGTTGTTTATATTTGGGATTTGGAGTTACTTTCCTCCAAAACTAGGAAAAGTAAATTCAGTGAGAATTGCAGGTTTTGTTTCCTTAGTAAGGATAACTGAAGATGA